TGCTGCGCTCTTCCTGTGAGGGGTGCCGTGTGTTTCCCGCCCAACTGCTCCACTCGCATACCCACCGACACGCTCATGACGACGGCCCTGTGCGCCTCGCCTGCTGCACGCATGAGGAGGGGCCGCGACGAACGGCGCGCTGAGGGAGCCGTGACGTGTGGGCGTGCGACGAGGGCCTGTGGGGCGGAGCACACATTTCTTTCCCTCTTGTTTTGTTTTTGCGGCCAGGGCTGGCAGACACCCGCAGCGCCACACACACAGCCACGCCCTGCCGCTTCTTTAAGGATTTTTCTTTGCGTGTTTATTTCACGCGCTGGCACACCCCTCGGGGTTGGCCTCGTGAGCATTTCTCTCCCCCTGATGATTTTTTTCTTTTGCTGCGCTCACTCTCCCGATGGAGTGACGCGACTGCCGTCATGTCTGCGTGCTTCTCTCATCTTTCCCACACAAACATACGAGTGACTGTGCTCTGCGGGCCGCACTCGCACGCCGATGAGAGGGCTGCGGGGAGCAGCAGCACGCAGATGGCCCCATGAAATATAAACGATGTGCGGACATACAGAGGGTCGGACGGTTGAAAGAGATGTATCTTTCTGAATCTACCTTGTGGTCAAAATAATCAGGCAGTTTGGTGGGACCACACGCTAACCAGGTGGATTTTTGTGTTTTTTTCATTTCATTTTCATCTTTTTCTGTGTGGAACAGTAATAGAGGACGACATTTTTTTTTTCTTTTGTGTGGAACAGTAATAGAGGACGACAATTTTTTTTTTTTTCTTGTGTGGAACAGTAATAGAGGACGACAAATTTTTTTTTTTCTTCTGTGCGGGGGGTTAAAATGTGAGGGACGGGAAATTTTTTGTTTTGTTTTTAAATGAATGTTGTTTGATTTTCCACTGCTTTCCGCCGTGGACGCCTGCTGTGCATTTGTGTTTGCGCGTCCCTTCAGATGCTTTACGCCTCTTCTCTTTTTTGTTTTTCCTTTTTTTCCTACTTTGTTGAGCGTGGCAGTGGGCGCACACAGCCACACGCGTAGCACACACATTGCAGTGCAGGTGGATGCTTCCTTTGTACTCGGTGCTGGCAGTTGCGTGCAGCTGCCGCTTCCTTCCGTGGGTATGAGGGGAAAGGAGGGGAGAGAGGGCGCGCATTGCGAGTCTCTTTTTCTGTTGGCGTGATGCACCGCGTGTGACCGCGTGGGGTGAGGGCCGCAAACCATTGAGGACGGGATGGCGGTGTAAATTCTGGGAGCCGCGTCGTGGATGGGTGAGGATCCGCCTCCGCGTGTGGCTGGCGGGGTGAGGCCCCTGGCGATGCTTTTCTCCGCCTGTCGTCTGTTCCTTCCGTGTGTGTTTGTGCTGCCTTTTGCTTTTTTCCCCTCTCACCCTTTCCTGCTGTGTTTCTGCGTGGAGTGGCCGCATGCTCACGGGCCATGTTGATTGTGAGTGCCTCTTGACGGCATCCATTCAACTCTCTCTCTCCGCCTCTCTGTCATTTCCTGTTGGGTGTGTGGCGTGTTGCACCGCGTGAGGGCTGGCCCGCACACACCGACGGCCCGCCGTGACGCCCGCGATGACCGGTGCGGAGTGGCGGTGCTCGCTGTCTCATCTCTTTACTTGGCTTGTTTTCCCTTTTCCCTCTACCTCTTGAACACACACGCTAGGAAAGCAAGCAAGCGCTAATCGCTACTGTGAAAATCGAAGGCTTTGAAAGGACCAACAGCACACACACCGCCCACACACATATTTATATGCTCTCACGTGTTGCTGCAGTGAAGGCACTCCGCACACACAACCGTCGCCGCGTGACCGGCTCCAGCGGAAGGAGGAGGGAAGGAAGAGCGAGTGAGCGGCAGAGGCCCAGCATGTCCCGGCATCTCTTTTATTCTGCTGCGCTGCTCCTCGTCGTGATGATGTGCTGCAGCACCTGTGGAGCTGCGGCCGCTGATGGAAGTAGTGGGGCAGGGGATGCACAGCTGCAGAGGGTTGATCTTTTTCCGCCGCAGAAGACGCAGGTGGTAATAAAAAGTGGTGGTGCAACTGAAATGAAGGATTCATTTGGCTCACCCTCTTTTGCCCTTGCTGGTGAAGTGATGGTTGCCTTTGCGGAAGGTCATAAGGACTATAATGGTCGCAGCATACATCCGATCTATATACTTCTGAAATTGTTGCAGGGTACATCAACGCGAGGGAGCCGTGGTCGTCCATTGTCGCTGATATCAGTTCCGACGACTGGAGGGCATATACCGTTTTTACCAGAGAAAGTTCAAAGGATCGTTTTGGCGTTGCGCTTCTACCCACGGCAGTTTCGACGGGCAGTGATGTATTTCTACTTGTGGGAAGTTACTATCTTATTCGTGATGCTACTGGGAGGCGTTGGAATGGCGATGGCTGGGATATTCATTTGCTCGTGGGTAAGGCCACGCAGTCCACGGACGCCAAGCAGGGTGAACTGATCGAGTGGGGCGCACCCACGTCGCTTTTGGCTTCGATCACTGAAAGTACTCGGCAAAGGAACTTGACGAACTTTGTGGGTGGTGGCGGCTCAGGCATTGTGACGGAAGAAGGCTGGCTTGTGTTTCCAATGATGGCGACGAGGAAAAATGATCGTGGCATTGAATCCATGCCTTTTTACTCGAAGGACAAGGGCGTTAACTGGGATGTCTCAAAGGGCATTCCTGCTGCGGACTGCGTTGACCCCCGCATTGCCGAATGGGAGATTAGAGAACTTCTCATGCTTGCCTATTGTGTTGATGGCCAGAAAGTTTTCCAGTCGCGTGACATGGGAGATGCGTGGACCAAAGCTTCTGATTTACTCCCACGCGTGTGGATCACCACACAAGCAATTCCTCGGGGCGAGGGTTGGCGTGTGGGAGCCCTCATCACCGTGGAATTATACGGAAGGAAGGCCTTGCTGTATACTCAGAAAGTGGGCTATCCCCCAGGGGAGAGAAATGACATGGCGCTTTACCTTTGGGTCGCGGATAGCAACCACACGGTCTATTTTGGACCGCTCTCTGTGGAGACTGGTGCGAAGCGAGCGTTTGCCAACACCCTGCTGTACTCCGGTGATGCGTTGTACCTTTTGCAGGGGATGGGTAATGGGAAGACGGATGGCGTTTTTCTTTTTCGAATTATTGAGGAGCTGAGAAAAATCAAGTCCATCGTGAGGAATTGGATAGAAGTGGACGCCTTTTTCTCCGGGTTGTCTACACCCACGAATGGTCTTGTGGGGGTTTTGTCCGATTCATCCGATGCCGACAAGTGGAACGACATGTACCGCTGCGTGGATGCAACCGTATTGGGCGCAATAAGGATTGGGGGTGGCTTTAAGTTCACAGGGCATGGGGCCGGGGGAATATGGCCCGTGAACAGCCGGGGAGATAATAAACAGTACACCTTTGTGGATTTCACCTTCACCCTTGTGGCGACGGTGGTCATCGAAAAGATGCCTCCGGGCGGCAGCAGCGTTCCTCTGCTGGGTGCGATGCTGGAGGATGGAATGGGCACGAAGTTCCTTGGGCTGGCTTGCGCTGAGAACAGGATGTGGGAAACAGTGTTTGATGAGCAAACGGGACAGGGCGACTTTTGGGTGCCGAAAAAAGAATACCAGGTGGCACTCATGCTAAATGGGAACGAGGGTTTTTTTTACTTGGACGCAGAGCTTCTGGGGACCTCGGATACGATGCGAAGACGTGAAGAACGGGCTTACGATGTTTTGGGCTTTTACTTTGGGGAGACGAAAGTGGCCGGGACAGCAGTGCATCAGTGAAGAACGTCTTTTTGTACAACCGCAAGTTGGCTCCCGATGAACTGAAAATGGTCAGGAAGACTGGCTCTCCCAAGCATGAGAGTTCATCGTCGGAAGCGAGCGGATCTGACTCCTCTGCGCACGAGTGTGTTTATTTTGTGCCTCTGGTGTCGCTGGGGCTATGGGCCCTTGCGGTTTTTTATGGAGTGTAGCAGAGTATTTTCATTGCGTTCTGTGGGATTACATGCATTTTGACACGAATGTTCTGGAAGTCTGTGAAGAGAATGTTCACTTGGCAAGCTGGCTATCTAATTTAACATACATATATCTTAATAAAGCGAACTCTGTATGACCTTTTTCTATAATTTATGATTATTTGTTTGACCGCGATGCACGGAATCAAGGAACCGATAACGACGAAACGAATGTACTTACTTTATTTTTATTTTCACCTTTTGAGTTACTCTCTTTTTGATTTTTTTTTTTTTTTTTTTATCGCGGCGGAGTTTTGTGGTTGGAAGAGCCTAAAGTCTGCCACTTTTGACGCAATAAATACATGCATAAATGTTCAATCCTAATAGCGTGAGAGGGCCATGATAGATGGAGGGTATCGGATGATATAATGAATATACCATCTATAAACATGTACTTACCTGTTGTTAAAATTTGAGGATGTGGTGAATTCACTCATATTTCATTTATCTTTTTTCATATGCTTATTTATTTATTTGTTTTATTTTATTTTATTTTATTTTTTTGATTTCTATTATTGATGAACTGAAGATTTGGCAAGCGGCCCAGGCGAATATTTGGTGGAGGTTCTACGGAAAGGGTGTACTTCGACACACAAAAAGCAATCAAGCAAAGGTGAAGTAAAGACTTATATTTACATCAGCCATGGATAAAAGGAAGCTTGGACGGGGCTTGAGGATTCATCGTGGGGGGAGGGGTACAAAGAGATTTTTTCGAGTGTTTTTGGTTTTCGTGGCATTTTTTTTACTGCTGTTTTTTAGATTTGAGAGGCGTGGTCCCACCATGGAATTGGAAGATGCAGACGGCATTCTTCAGACGATACCGGTATTTTCTTCGAAGGATCTTCCGGCTGCAAATATACCAGTGGACATTGCTACTATTTTTGTATCCATTGCGGCCTTTCGAGACAAGGAATGTGTCACTACACTAGAGAGTCTCTTTACCCGCGCGAAGAATCCTCGGAGAGTGTATTTGGGTATCAGTGAGGAGCGATTTGAAATGGATAGCAGTTGCATTGCTTCACCGGAGGTGCTTAAGAACATTGGTGTGACTCGCTCTCGTAAACTTCACTGGAAGGATGTTGTTCCCTTTGCCTACAATCCCACAGACAAGCAGAAATATCCCAAGCACACACCTGTGCTGCATGCAAAACGCGATGAGGATGTCATCACGTGTCTACTCAGTGAAGGTTCTTCCGACGCAATGCCCGGCCCTGGTGAATCTGTTTTGAACGGATGTCAGGTCTTGACACGCATTGGACACCCGGATGATGCACGAGGCCCGACTTACGGTCGTTACCTAACAAGTCTCTTCTACAATAACCAGGATTACTATATGGTGATTGACAGCCATTCAAGATTTGTGCCTGAGTGGGATATAAAGATGATTGAACGTGCGCGGCTTATGCCCACTTGGGGCGTAATGTCGTACTACCCGAATGGGTACACACCGGAGGATCCAGATGCGGAGATCAACAAGACGGATGTTATGGCCATGTGTAAGGGGGTTATCTTAGATAATGACATTCCAAAGTTGGGGGCGCGGTGGATTGATATAAGGGACCATCCTGTTCTCCAAGGCTTTGTAGCTGCTGGATATATTTTTGGGGATGCGCAGTTTGTGAAGGATGTCCCTTTTGATCCGTATCTTCCATTTTTATTTGATGGAGAGGAGATTCTGTACACTGTACGCCTGTGGACAAGCGGGTGGGACAGTTACTGTCCTGGCACGGCATTTCTTTTTCATAACTACATGCGAACCGATGCGCCGAGGTTTTGGTCCGTCTTGACAAGAGATGAGGTGAAGGTTCATCGGGAATTTGAACGGCAGACCTCCATAAAACGTGCGTTGTATTTAATGCGGCGGAATGTCTTGAACTCCACCCAACCCGTTGTGACGGAAGATGAGGCGCATCGATTGAACCCGGCGATTGGACGTGAGATGGAACACTTTGGATTGGGGATGTTGCGACGCATTTCCGATTACTGGCGTTTTGTGGAACTTAGTGATGAGTTTGTGAAGGAAAAAGATGATGAGAATCGCTGGAAGGGTGGTGAAGGGCTCTGTGAAAAGGCAACACTTGGATAATAGGGAAGTTATAACTTGCTGCAGTGCCTTCTTTCTCTTTTTACTCCCCTTCCCTTCTCTTTCTCTTTGTCTCACTCTCTCTCTCTTTATTTATATATAAATATATATATGTGTTATTTATTTATTTATTTATTTATTATAATGGGGAGGTCAATTTAATGTGCCGTCAAACGGGTGCATATGGGATGTATGTATCATTGGAGAGTTCAAATATGAGTGATGATGTACATATTCTTATGAGCGCTTTTTTTTTTTTTTTTTTTAAATGAGATAATTTATTATTATTATTATTATTATTACTATTTGCCACCACGAAGGAGGAAAATGGTGTGCGGAATAGGAGAGGTTTTTTTTTTTTTTTTTTTTCTGAAGGAATAGGTGGGGGCGCGTGTGTGTGTGTGTGTGTGGAGCAGAACAACAAACAAAAGAAAGAAGAATAATGAAAGGAATGGATAAAGAGAGAAAAAGAGAGATAATTAAATGCGAAAATATGATTTGAAAGGCTTATTTGGATTTTTTTTTTTTTAAATGAACTGTTTTTTTATTTTTCTTTTTTTTTTTTTCTTTTGTGTTTCTGTTGTGTTGTTCCCGCGGCCGCGGCGGATATGGTGGACGACGCGTCATCCTTCTCTGCACACACTCTTTTCTCTTTTCTCTCTGTGCCACTCCACCCCCAAAGACAGACAAAGGGATAGAAGAAAAGGCAGCGGGAAGAGTTTTGCTCCCGCCGCGAGTCGTACACGTCGATTGGCCCTCCCGGTAGGAAAGACACACACACACAATTGTGTCGGTTTTGTGCGTGCCTGCCGGCGTCTTATTTATTTATTTATTTATTTATTTATTTATTTTTTGGTGACATGTTTGCGTTGGAGGAAATATCTCTTCAGGCGTTTCTCTCTTTCCCCTTTCCCTTCCTTTCCTTTCCTCCCTCTCTCTTTTTCTTGGTGTCCATGTAAAGTCATTACGGGCTGCTGCAAATGTCTATTTTGCGTGTTTTTTTTTTCCCGCAGCGGGATGCCGTGTGATATGGAGACCACCAATGACACTACATTGACCCTGGCTCAGCCGGCCACCTCAACGTTGTGCCAGGGTCTAGTACTCTTTGCCAGAGAGGAAGCCAAGCGCCTGCTGTTCATGCTTCAAAACCGATGAGTAGTTGTTGCTTAGTTTTACGGGTCGGAAGGGCAGATGTTGGAGCCATTCTATAGTGGCTGCCCGCGGAGTAAGGTTATCCTTGCCACTGAATTCCTTCGTACGCTTACCAGAGCTGCACAATTGAGGTGTAGTTACTACGACTGGTGAGAGAAGAAAAAAAAACACTACATTGAAATATGTGTGTGCACGATATGTACGCATGCATGATAAAAATTATTATTATTATTATTATTTCTCTGTCACACACACACACACACTTTTTTTCTCTCTTTTTTTTTTGCTTGTTTCTTTGTTTGTATTTACATCATGCCTCACAATTGTTCACGTGACTCAACACGGTTGGTTTCATTACATATAAGAAGAATAAAACAACAACAACATCAACAACAACAAAACACCGATAATATTAACAAAGAGAAAAGCAACAAACATTAGTTCCAGCAGGCTGTGATATTATTACAACATATTCTTGCACGAGGTAAAAGAAGAACAACAGCAACAAAAATAAAGCAAGCATTTGCTCAACAGGGGAAACACCACAGGCGCATACAGACACATAAGAGGCGGAGACAAGTAAACGAAAATCGCAGCAAGAAACAGGGGAGTCATTCTCATCCCCGGCTTTTACGCGCAAGAGGGGGGCACCTGGTGGGCGGCAGGAGGCACCTGAACACGAAGAAGAGTAGACACGTGAAGACACACACAAAAAAGAGGCTTGCGGCAGATTTTTCAAGAGAGAAAGAGAGAGAGAGAGAAAAGGCAGCCAAAGGGGCGGCTATTAGGATTCCTCCCTCTCTTTCTTTTTTTCCTCATTTATTTCGCTGCTCTAAGTGGTGGCGGTCCTTGTGGGACAAAAAAGAAACGGATCAAAGGGATTTTGGAAATTCCATAGGGACACAGATTCCCCGGGGTGGAATCAGACACAAGTAAATATCTACATATCCTAAATACTTACTGGGCACAATCAGCCCCTTTCCAGGAAAAATGGTGAGGGATTACCAGGGGAACATGTCCCGGCAGTACCGCCCGAGCGTTATGCAAACTGCACACCACGGTGACAACTGGGGGATGCAAGGCCGGTATTCAATGCCCAGTCGTATCTCACGGCTTCATTCTATGAATATGCAAACTCCCTACAGAGGCATGGATCCCATGGATTACAATGCACATGCCCCATATGCAGCTCAAGGAGGCATGGCCAACCTCACGAGCGGTGGTGCCTACCAGGCCCCGATGAGAGGCATGCCGTACGGTCCCCCTGGGCAGCAGCCGTATTCTGCGGAGGCAAAACCAGCTCATATTCGGAGAGGTCACAGTGTCTTGTTGAGGCAGCGAGCGCCTCAGTTAATGAGTTTTCGTTACGACAACGCCCCAACGGGTATTTACTATCGTACAGGTAGCTTTCGAGGAAACGTGGATAGCAGACCATTTGGTAGTTTCCGCTCCAACGGACCTTCATATATGCCATCAGAATCTGTATTACAACAAACAAACAGTTTCCAACGGATGGGCAGTAACCTTTCTGGTTTTGGCTCCGGCTATGGAAACTCGTTCTTTTCATACAACCGTCCTAATGGTGCAAGTTCAAGTAACATTTTATCTCAGAACGGTAGTGCTGTCAACTTCAACTACAGCTTTTCATCTCAGATTCCAAGTATGCAATACAACAACGGTGCTGATGGTCTTCTGCAAATGCCATCTGAGAAGGCCCCGGTAGATATGCCGCCACAAAAGGAAGAAAGAGAACCGGTATTTCGGCGGCAGAACAGCATGACACTTTCACGACGGGATTCCATGTTAAATGGTTTCTACGAGTTTGGTCCAGTGGCGAAGAGAACGGCACCGATGGGAGTTCCACGGAATTTGGAAGAATCGCGTCTGTCTGCACGACCCACCGCTCCACCGCAGTGGCCGAAAGGCACAGGGCTTTCAACCGTGCCACCACCTCAACAAGTGGCGAACAATGGGACTCGCGGGGGGCGCCCGCCAGATAGGACGACGCAACAGAACGTAAAACCATCTGCCAATACGGGTGAGTTGTCACGCAAGGGTAGTGAAAAGAGGATTGGTATGTATTTTAAGTCTGTTCAACCGACGCAGGATGGGGACTACAAGAAGGAGGGTGATCTTGGGACAAGAGGGGGCTCATTCAAAGTGGATCCACCCATGACGACACGTGTACGTCCGATTCTACTGCTGGAGAAACGCGGTGGCAACAATGTTGAGGTGGATGGCCGCACGGCAATATTGGAGAAACCGGGTAGTGATGAGATGCAAAAGTTTGAAACACATGAAATTGTTCAGTTATCCTTTGGTGACTCAAACGTTTTCATAGAAAGCCTGGATGAAGTGCGTGACACGTTTTTGATGGGGTGCAACGTGGCGGTTGTGATGGCAGACTCAAACTGTCCTGCGTATAAGCCATCCGAGTGGTTTTCGTGGAAAGTCATTAAGCAGCTACTGAAGGACGTCTTTGCCAAGATGCGATCCCGATCGGAGCTCAGTTTCTCTGTGTCGCTTCTGGAGGATGACCAGGTGATGGATTTGCTGACGGAGCATCCACGGCATGTGACGCTCACTGTGGCCCAATCCCCGCTGTTTGGCAACGTTGCGCATGGTGTCATCTACCAGGTTGTGGAGGACGCCTCTGAGTTTTCGGACCTGCTGGATCTTGCCTTGTCCAAAGCCCTCGGTAGGGAGGGGGAGGAGCGCGGTATTCTTCTCATGTCAGCCATCTTAAAACAAATTTGCACGAACACGCCCCACACAAAAGGGGATGAGGAGGACATTCTGCTCTCCTCCCTCTTTGTTTCTTGTGTCGGGGACGGCATTATTCATTACAATCGCATTCTTGACAAAAACCCCGCGGAGCCACGTGCCATGTTTCAGTTTGCGCTTGGCGGTCCATCTACTACAGCCGCCGTCTTTTCCATTGTGGATCAAGTTTCCAATGCCTCAACCGTGAGCCAGTTTCTTTCCACGCTGCATCGACTGGGTGAGATTAAGAATTACAATCTACGCATTGGAAGCGTTCGCCGCTTTGTCAAGTACACAAATGAAACCATTCCCAAAATGCGGCGGCGAATAAAAGAGGTGGAAGAAGGGCCCGGGAAGGAAGCTGTAAAACAGTCCTTGGCACGTCTTGAGTTGATGCTATCGGACGCAAAGGCTATGCTAGAATCCCCAGAAACCGCCGCACCGAAAATGTATATACGTCAATGATTGATCGAACGATAGACACAGATGAAACGTGTGTATGCTTATCTGTGTATGTATGATGAACCAGATAAACGAAGGGAAAGGAAGAAGAAGAAAAAGGAAAAAAAAAAAAAGAAAAAAACAAGAGAGGAGGAGAGAAAGAGAAAGAGAGAGAGAGAGAGCATTATAAAGCCTATTCATGTCAATATCCATGTCCATATGCGTGGCTGTGTCTATGCGTTGATAGTTGTATAAATGGATACATGTAGTCTTGAATTTTGCCAATACCCCTGTCTTTTATTTCTTATATAAATATTTATTTATTTATTTTATGATTTTGTGTATGGTACGGTGCATGATTGATATATATATATATATGCGTGTGTTTGTTTATGTGTATGTGGGGGGGTCTTTATGGCCGTTATATGCGTCCCAATCCTTTTTTTTTTTTGTTTTCCTTTACATTTTTCCCATACATGACAACTGACTTTGATTCGTCCCTCTCCGTAGGGGCATTGATCAATTTTTTTTTTTTTTTTTTTTTTTTTATTGGGTGCTGACGACTCGATCTTTTATTCTTTTTTTTTTTGGCTTTTTTTTTTTTACCGCCATTGGCTGCTTCTTTTTTTCTTTTTTGGATTTATGTGGCTTTTTTTGTTGTTTTATGCGACATTCCCTTTATTTATTTATTTTTATTTTTTGCAGGGGCCATTGGGGGGAGGGGCAGGAGGAAAGGAGGA